CAAATGATGCTAAACAAATTTTAAGACATGCAAACCGATTTGGTGCCACCTATTAAAAGGAGACGTATATTTAACAGTTTAGAAGTGGCTGTAAAAGAAAGATGAGGTTCAAAGCCATGGAAATGGAAGTAATACCGATATTAGGTGTAAAAAAAATTATGATGATTATTATAGTTCCCCGATGTCAGAGTGCTAGAGACAAAAGTAAAAAAAAAATCTTTATTTCCAAAAGGCCTCATTATTGAAAGACTAAAAACAGAAATGCACATATGGATTAACTATTATCAATAGATTAAATCTAGTCTGCATCTGCATCTGAATTGAATTATTTATTTATTTTATTTTTTTTTATTTATTATAGTAAAAAGCACAATTTTATTCTGCACCCTTCTAGACATTCTGTGGCTATATTATTTATAAAAAATGCATTATTTAGATAAAAAAAAGTTTAACTATGACCTTTAAATTAAAATAACACAAGCTCTTTGGACAAGCAATCCTTAACTCTTCCTCGATTTATTTTTATTTAGAATTCGATTCCCAACTGGCTCTTATAATGTCTAATATGATCACCTGTATTTTACAACATCAATGATTCCATGGAGAATTTGCTTTTGAAAATATTCTAGAGACATCTTTAGACCTGGAAGTTTCTGGGTTTTATGCCAGATGAAATTAGCCTTTGAAAATATTCTAGCACTGCAAAAACGATCTAGAAATAAGTAAATATTTCTTAAATTAAGTGTATTTATCCTTATTTTAAGTAGGTAAATGAGATTGTTTGCCAATGGAATGAGTAGTTTTGCTCTTAAAATAAGATAATTAGATAAAATGCATTTGAAATAAGACAATGCAATTGTGTTTACTTATTTTAAATGTATATTGTCTTGTTCCATTGGCAATATGTCTCTTTTACCTCCTCAATTCAAGAAAAATTGCACTTATTTAAAGAAAAAATTACTTATCTAGATTTCGATTTTTTTCCAGTGAGACATCTTTAGACCAGGGAGTTTCTGGGTTTAATGTAGGTTAAAATCTGTTCTACTGGGTCTGTAATTAGGCGCAACAAAAGGTCCCACAGTCTGCTTCAATGCAGCTGCCAGAGGAGTGAACTTATGAACTCTGAGGAAATACCTTATTGATCTGGGATGAACATAGAAACACTAAAAAGCCCCACACCCCTGCAGCATAAAACAATAGCAATGCCATCATTGAATCATACAGCTTGCACTGGAAAAAAACTAAATCTACATAAGTCATTTTTTTCTTAAAATAAGTGCATTTTTTCTTGAATTTAGGGGGTAAGTGAGACACTTACAAATTCATTATCATCTTATTTCAAGTGCATATTATCTAATTATCTTGTTTTAAGAGTATATATCCTCATCCCATTGGCAATTAATCTCATTTACCTACTCAAAATAAGGGTAAATACATTTAATTTAAGACATTTTGACTTATTTCTAGATCGTGTTTGCAGTGTGCACCGGAAAAAACTATCTAAAAATAAGTAAAAATATCTTAAATCAAGTGTATTTATCCTTAATTTGAGTAGGTAAATCTGATGGTTTGCCAGTGGAATTATTATTTTTACTCTTAAAATAAGATAATTAGATATTATGCGCTTGGAATAAGACAATGCAATTGTTTTTTTTTTCTTATTTTAAGTGTAAATTGTCCTGTTCCATTGGCAAAATGTCTCTTTTACCTCCTAAATTCGAAAAATTCACTTATTTTAAGAAAAAATTACTTATCTAGATTTCGATTTTTTCTCCAGTGTGGTAAATATATTGAATCTTAAAAAAAACAAACAGCTAATATCCCTTAGATAAAACAATTTTTTTTACCAATATTACTGGATGATCTGATTGGATTGTCTGTAAAGAGCTTTGAGATAAGTTATGTTTTAAATTGGTGTTGCAGAAAAAAGATATTGACTTGAATTTATTTTTATTTTATCCCATTATTGACTGAACATACAGTCACACCAGCAGCCTCTGCAAATTCAATCTACCTCCAGAAAAATAGAAGATTGTGGCCGTAATAAAATCTATAGTCGCTTTAATTATCAGGACTTTCTAGGAAGAGAAAATATGAGTATTTTCCGCTGCTAAATTTACAGCCTCCATTTAATCAACCAATCAGTCATTAGGTCCAGCTTTTTTTGTTATTGAATGATTTTCTCTGTAAGTAAAGCAAAATAAGCAACATAATGATGCCATTAGAGTCCCACTCAGTACCCAATTAGTTCTTAATTTGATGGACCAAGCTGTTCTCATATCCTTCACCTGCAAACAGGAAATCAGCCTTTTATATGAGGCGTTACAGGACTTACACTGCAAAAATGATCTCAAAATGAGTACAAATGTCTTAAATTAAGTGTATTTACCCTTAATTTGAGCATGTAAATAAGATCATTTGCCAATGGAATGAGTATTTTTACTCCTAAAATAAGGTATCTAGATATTATGCACTTAAAATAAGACAATGCAATTGTTTTTTTCTTGTTTAAAGTGTGAATTGTCTTGTTCCATTGGCAAAGTGTCTCACTTCAATCCTTAATTCAAGAAAAAATGCACTTATTTTAACTTATTTAAATTTTATTTTTTTGCAGTGTGGTAACCTAGAAAGGTTTGAAATGATCAAACCACACAAAGGTGCTTTTTACCTTCATGCAATTTTTCTCTCACTCCAACAAACAAACATAAATGTCTTAAACATATTTTATGAGTTTATAAAATCCAGTCAGCTCATCCACCATAATTTGATTAACACTAGAACTACTACGGAGGGGTCAATTGTCCTTTTTACCTAAAAG